GAGGTAATTTGGGTGATTCAGATAGATAACTGACCTAATTTTCACCTGAGTAACTCATGGCCCACCCTTGGGTAACCCGGGTAGTGATTTTTTAGACGGGTTAAATCACTAAATTGAGCTTATACTGTATGAATATGGTGTTGAAATTCAAAGAATTATAGCATGTTTCAGACATACAAGCTTGGCTATAGTCGACCGTTATACTGGATTATTCGAATTAAGAGTTTTTAAAAATCAGTATATGATAGAATTTCTTTTACCTACTGGTGAACGCTGTAGAGAGTGTAAGCGATTTGCATGGAAAATTGTTAATAATATGAATGATACTCTAACCCGATTAATTGGAATGAGCCCTAATAGTACTATGAAGCTTGAACAGGTATATTCCAAGCTATCAACAAAGTATTATCATCCAGTAGGTGCTGATGAGCCACAGTTAGCAAAGGGAACTATAGTTCAATTTTTACTTGCTCCTGGTGAATGGGAAAATGATCCCTTTGAATAACAAAGAATAACAGATCCAGTATGGAGTCCAAGCCTTCATAAAATTCAGAAAATTGTTGTTGGAAAAAATCCACCAATGCCTGTATTATATTATTTAGATGAAACAGGTCCTCAACGTCCTTTTGTAAGAGAAAAATTAATACATATTAAGGAAGAGCCTATGTTACCTCCTAGGTGAGTACTGGAAGATAACCAAATGCATTCAAGGCACACTTGAAAAAAGTTAGCAAATCAATAATGCAATAAGGGATTGTGATAAGAATTATACCCTCCTTAAAACAGAGTGCTCTTTTTCTCCAATCACGTTGAATTTGTGAATCTAAATTAATTTGCCCTTGTGGATGAAAAAATGGAACGATTTGAAAATGTTGATTACCACTATATTCAAAGGCCAAATGTAATTCCTCATTATACTCATCAAGCTGTAACCTTTTAAAAATTTAGGTTTTTGAGGTGGAAATTTCTTATATAATAATTCTTCGAATATATATCGACATCTTCTCTCAAATATATAGGAACAACTATTACACCATCTATAATTCTGCTTTATATCTTTATAGAATGCTTCCCATTGATGTTGATTTTTGCATGACCACAAATAAATATCTGCGTTGGATCTAGCTTTAGCCAAGCATTTCCTTCACGTCTTTTGGCATACATAAAAGCTTTGGAATCAATCTCGTTATAATCTTGCATTTTTATAATATTAGAATTTAACTAGAATATTTTAGTTAATTATATCCTAGGAGTATCACTTTTTTTTGAACTTGAGAGAAAAAAAGAAAAATGGGCGTGAGAGTATGGATGAGGTCACTTTTCTGGAATATAAACGAACCTTTGAGGCTAAAATGAAAGTTCCTACTACTCCGCATAAAAAAGAACTAAAAAATAAATCTCTAGCAATCATTGAATATACATAATTGTTATAAATCTTTTAATAAAGCAAGCATAAGGTACTAAAATAATATTATCTAGTTAAGTAGTAATTTCTGAAGAAGAGAGATTGCGACGTTTAACTAGTTATTCATCTCAGGTAAAGGAGTTTTTGTCACTTCTTATAATGAGTATGCAGAAAAATTCAAATCAAAAATTAATACTTCGATATCTAGATTATATAAAGGAGATTTCTGTGTCATGCAATTTTGATTAAGATAATTTTAGATAAGTGCTTCCGATATATAAGGTACATATTCGATAACCATTTTTGTGTTGCCTGATTTTGATCAAGATAAAAATCGGTAGTATGCAAAAGTATGAAATTTTTCAGTAGTACACAAAAGTAAGAATAAAATTTTCAAGGTATTTTTTAGTAGTAATCCAAAGTATTTATTCAGTAGTATGCAAAAGCATGATATTTTTTTTTGATGTAGTAGTATCCAAAAGTAGCAACTATGCGAGAAAGGTTTCTAGAGATCCAAAACATAGCGTACTCGTGGTAGTAGTCAAAGGTATAATTATTATAGAAAGATATATATTATAAAAATTTTGCTTTTGGCTACTACCAAATAGATAACAATTCTGCACTATGTGGTAGTATCCAAAAGTATCAACTATGCGAGAAAGGTTTCTAGAGATCCAAAACATAGCGTACTCGCGGTAATAGTCAAAGGTATAATTATTATAGAAAGATATATATTATAAAAATTTTGCTTTTGGCTACTACCAAATGGATAACAATTTTGCACTACGTGCCTTAACTCTGGCCCTCATCGAGGAATTAACCAGAAAGCTAGGGCACTACGTACCTAGTTTAGGCATAGCCCTTACATCGAGTCCGCAAATGACGATACGTGACTGAATATATCGTCAGACACATATCCACTCAAAAATGATGATGCAAATACAAAATGCTTGTCACTCGAATGACAAAGCAAATATGACGATGAACTCGTAAACTAATCATCACTCGAATAACGACGAACTCGTGAACTAATCGTCACTCGAATAACGATGAACTCGTGAACTAATCGTCACTCGAATGATGACGAACTCATGAACTAATCATCACTCGAATGACGATGAACTTGTGAACTAATCATTACTCGAATGACAACGAACTCATGAACTAATCATCACTCGAATGACGTCAAACTCGTGAACTAATTATTACTTGAATGACGATGAACTCGTGAACTAATCATTACTCGAATGACGATGAACTCGTGAACTAATCATTACTTGAATAATGACGAACTCGTGAACTAATCGTCACTCAGTAAGTAGATAACAATCTAGAGTAAGTAGATAATATTATATATATAATGTTATCTACTTATTGACTACTGATCTAAAACTAGAAGGCTTAAGCTAATTAAGCTTTAGTTCTGTAGTAGGTTTGATGCTAGGTTTGCAATGGTGATAGAATACAGTATGATTTTGTAAATGCTGAATTGAACTCATATATAACAAGTAAATTTTTTGTATTAATAATAATTAGACAGCAGGCAGCATAATATTAGAACAATGATATATGTACATACATATATACGTGTTTTTATTCCTGTATTTAGAAGTTATTACTTGTTTAATATTAAAACTGCAGAACTGTAAAAAGAATGTAATATAAGCTCTTAATTTGATTGGTCAATCGTTGTAGTACATAGAACAATCTGGAATGAAGTCTAGAATAATCCGAATGATAATCATTGCTAAATAGGGTGCGATCGTCAATTACCAAATATGGTAAAATCCCTGACTGGAATATAAGGAACTAACCTTAATTTAGAAATTACCGGCAAAACAAATCCGGCCACCCAATTCTTAACCATAGCCTGTCCATGGACATGTGGACATGAACATTGGACACTATTGTTCATAGACTGTCTATGTATATATCCATATTTATGTCCATGTCCAGAACAACACTAGTACCATATAAGCGCGAAATAATGCCAACCTGGCATTATTTCGAATATGCCCATGTGCACTATTTCAAAATAAAAGAAGATTTTTTAAATCAATATGTGATTTTACCAATATCCAAAATCACATATTTAAATCTCAATAGTGCAGTTAAAATCCTGAAAATATGGGTATCAATAGAAACCAAGCAGATTGTTTCTAACTAAATTTTTTTCAACTTTAAGTTAAAATATTTTAGAAACTATTAAACCAAACTTGATAAATTTTTTTTTGGTTTAATTTTATATAGTTATAAAAATAAAATAAAAAAAAATTATTAAGTTTCATTTAATAGTTGTTGAGAAATTTTAATTAAATTTTCAAAAAAAACTTACTAAAACAACTAGGCACTTGAGTTGTTAAAGGGAGTTAGAACGAGTAGGTGTATTGTATTGTATTGGTATAATGTGTTTTCGTTCTTAAAAGATTATAGGAAATAGTGAGAGATTTGCATAGTATAGGATCGGTAGCTTAATCTATAAACTGGATAAATATTTAAGCATTTAGATTTATATTGACAGATCTTTAATGAATGCACATCATAAATTAATGAACTTGGCTATTGCCTGCCAAATTTAGATTGTAATACATAAGTAGATACATAGTAAAATATGATTACTCAGAACGGATTACTGGATTAGTGTTGTCAGGCCCGATTTTAAGCAAGCACCGAAGTACCCAGGTAATCGTTTTCTTATAACTCTTGCTGTCTTCTGGTCTTGTCAACGATTTTTACTAACAGCATTATTTTCCTGTTACTGTATTGTCGCTATTTGTCAACTTAGTCAATACTGAACATTCATAAGAGGTATTCTTTACGTTGATTAGAGTAGAGGAGTATAATGATTATTAGGCAATTGGGTATTTAGAATAGACATTCAATTCCGCATTGGTCGGTTCTTATTTCATTCTTCATAAGAGGTATTCTTTACGTTGATTAGAGTAGAAGAGTATAATGATTATTAGGCAATTGGTTATTTAGAATAGGCATTCGATTCCGCGTTGGTCGGTTCTTGTATCATTCTTCATCAAAATGTTATTTTGAGTAGTTCTGTAGTTATACAAAATTGTGTCATTGATAAGTTTTGTAAAATTCAATCTTTAGTTATGCAGGCTAAAATAAATAAAGAAATTGAATAAAATTTTGTGTGCTACTGTATATACTGCAATACTGACATAAATTTTAAGTTTTATGCATGTGTGCAACTAATATATATATTTTAAGTTTTATGTACGTGCACAGCTACTTTAAGCGCGTGTCTAGTTTTCTACACGACTTAAAAAGATTCCAAAAGCCAAAATTAAAATTAATTATGAAATAATTAACTCAATATAAAACTTATAAAGTTACACATTCTGCAATTACTGAATTATTATGAAAATAATCTTTATTAAAATATTTTTACATATGGAATTTACAATTGTTTATTACAGCATTATTATACATAATTCTATTGTGCTTTCTATATTCTCATACAATAACAATACCACGCTATATTGTTCAATATTGAATCTATACAAAAAAATAAATTTTTTTTTCTATAATTTTTTTTTCAAAAATTCAGAAAATACAATAAAAAAGTACTTTACCCGTCTTACACTTCATTATTGGTACTAACGCCATTGTCAGCTAATATATTCCTAATTTCTTGAAGAATAATCATTAAGTTATCACGAGACTTATTCGACAAACCTCGAAAACGTGATCGATCCGCATCACCTAAAAGAGGAATTAAAGAGTTAATAATAGATAAAATTTGCGGTCTTGTTAAAGAACTATCAGTTTTTTGAAGATCCGCCTCTTCACATGTTATAGGTACTGGATGCCAAATGCCTAATGAAATTTTTTTAATTAGTTTTGCTTCAATAAACTCAATTCTCTTTGAACATGCAATTTCACTAAATCGTTTCATTTCTTCACTTAGCGTCCATTCTCCACTTATATTTTGAAAAATCCGATTATCAACATTTGGATTTACAAACTGAGATTTCCTTATCTGAGCTCGAAATCGACGTGATTCAGAAATGTAACTAGGACGTACTCGAGGTTCATGGGCTTCATTTTCAGAATATCCTATTAAATTGAAAAGATTAGTATGTAACTTCACAAACTTTGTACAATTACGAGCCACAATTTCCCAATGCCGTAGTGAAGGTATTGGAGGAATTAAAGACTTGAGTGATTTATTAATCTCTTCAAGTATCGCATCATGGCCTTGATGTTGATTCGAAAGTTTAGATCGTGAGGTTACAATTCTTTCTTGAATTAAGTTATAAATCTCAGGTCTTAAACGTAACATTTGTTCTCCATCATAAATCTCAATTAATCGATAAATTGGATGGCGCCGAGCAAACCAAATAGGTGCAAACATTCGTTTAGCCGCAAGTCTTAGTGAAGGCCTATTAAAACGAACTCCAGTGCGAAAGTTAATAATTGATTGCAAATAAACAAAAATTTGCTCATACTTCAATTTAAATACAGAATCAGTTTGATTTTGGGCCCATTTTAAATAACCTTCTACAGAAGGATTTTCATCAGAAACGACATACGGCCACATTAACTCCGAGGCCATGGCATGTCTATATATGTTACATACCGAATCCCATGACTTATGATGATCAGAGCACTTTTTAAAAAACTGAAGTTGATTCTCTGTTCGATATCCTTGACATTGAGCAAAATCTTTTATGTCGATATCCCAATTTAACTCGACGAATGCTTTTAGCATATTCATTTCTTCATGAAGAGCACCTGGAATTAATATAAGCCAAGGAAAATCTTTTTTCATTTTTAGTATATGATGATATGGTACACCATCACAAGTAACTACAACCCATTTACGACTATTTTCCTTAACTCCAGATATTTCTTCAATATGTTCAAGGACTTTTCGAACGTTAGCAATCGAGTTAGGATTAACTCCTATTGGATCGGGAACGAATACTTGTGGTGTATAAACTTCATGAGCTGAACGTTGCTTACTTGATTCCCTAAATGTATAAGAATTAATAACTAGAGACTTTTCATTAGTATTTACTATATTAGCTGATTCATCAAGCTGCTGATTTATTTCAGTAATCGTCGGTAATCTATTACGGCATGTAGGACAAACCCGCTTCTTGTTATCGATATTGGAGGTATTACAAACTGAACATTTTTTTATACAACCTGCCTGACTTTGATTACGTATCAAGTTATCAATTACATTCGTTTCTTGATTTTTTTCAACACAAAGTTCTTCTAAAATAATCGAGAGATAATTAGTAAGCTCTTCGTGAATTTCATTTTCCATACCCGATGTTAAATAAAATAATTCTTCATATTGCTTTTGGGTAAGTTCAGAATGTAACCAAGGATCTGTAATCTGAATATAGTTATTTAGAAAATTAAAAGCAACAAAACTTGTAACAGTATGAAATATAACCGTATTATGCCCATGGTCCAAATAATTTTTTTGGCCTTTTTGTTCATTGTCAAAAGCCAAAAATAGAAGACCTTCAGGAAGCGGTGGCTGCTCTATAGCTAAACTTTCTAACCAGTTAGTAAATTTTGAATAGCTGCCTAAAAAATAAAATGCCTTAAGAATTTATAAAATTAAAAAAAAAAAAAAAAATCGATTGATAACAAGAAAAAACATATACCAGAACTAATAATATGATTGTCGATATCCACAATCATTTTCGACCTTGCCAATGAATATTTAATTGCTGAAGCGGCCAAATTGATTGCAGAAACATATTTTAAGTGCCTTGATCCATATATAGCATCAACAGCTACGGCACTTTTAAAAAGCTTCTCTCCTTGTTGTTGTTCATTTTCATTACGAGTAAGAGTTTCTATAAACTTTACAACAACTGGGTTTCGTTCTGCAAGCCATTCGGAAGTAGAATATCCTAAGAGGCTATCCAAAGAAAATCGCTCTTTATTTCTCATCAAACCTAATATGTCCTCATACAAATTATTTCGCTCTTTTTCAGCAATTTCTATAATAGACTTAATACGATCTTGTTGGTTAGTAAATCTTTTGTATAACTTTTTTTTTAACTCTTCATTCTCGGCTAATAATTGTCTATTAGCACTTTCTAGCTTACTAATTCGCCCTAAAAGACTTTCATATGTTGGATCTGGCAAAGATACTTGAACTCCAAAGTCAACGGAAGCTGGATTAACTTGAGCACCAAAATCGACGAAAGCTGGATTAACTTGAGCACCAAAATCGACGAAAGCTGGATTAACTTGAGCACCAAAATCAACGGAAGCTGGATTAACTTGAATACCAAAATCAACAAAAATTTTTTCATTAGAAAACTTTAATCTTTTTCTTTCGCTCTCATCTAAATTTAAAAAACTCGATTCGTCTGCTAATTGTTTAATAAAAGAAGGTTTAGCAATAATCTGATTGTAATGCCATTCACATAAAGAATAGCTTTCTAAAGAGTCAATAAATGAAGTTAATTCAGTAAAATACTTAGCCAATTCTGTTAGCTTTTTCGTTGCTGCATTAGCTAATGCATTTTGCCACTGTTGCTTTTTATCAGGTTTACACTTATTTATACACTTTAGTAAATCACTTTCTGGGTACTTTTTAGCAAAAGAAGCAAAAAAACAGAGCAGCATTTTGGCTTTTACTTTTGAACTCATTGGTGAATAATATATAAAATATGTGTAATTTAAGCGTTAATTTAAAGAAATCTAATTTGTCAAGGCTTTGGGATCCTCACGGATTCTGAAAATACGTGTTGGAAAATATGTAATTCGATAGTTAGGCTTGACCTTTATTGCAGTACTACAGTACTAAGATCGACGAAAGGTCACGAATTTCTCTATAAAAAAAGATTAGTAAAGCGCCAATCACATGTCAGTGCATGATTTAGATTATTCTAGAAATGATCTTCGAATTTTGAAAAATCCCTGACTGAAAAATGGATTAGTAAGTATGATGATGAGTTAGTAAAAGATAAGGCCAAAAGAATTTAAAAGTAGAGGTTTTATTTTATATACTGACAAAGTAATTTGGCAATTCACAAAGTAATTCGGAAGTTAGATAAGAGGTATGTTTAAATGTTTAAGTTTTGCTTATAGGTATAATAAGTTAATAAACCTTAGCAATTTAAGTTGTCTTTTTATTTTTGAAACCTTATTTTTTGTAATCTAAATTAATATAAAAACTTGACTATAATATAGACCAATAATATAAAGTTAAGAATTATAATAGATAAGGTTCATAGATATCATGATAATAGTTAAAGCAGAAGTAATAGATACTGTAGCTATATAATGATTATTAAATAAGATTAATTAGTTTGATATTAGAGTGAATACTTCTGAGTTTTTTTTTTATATATTAGCTATTAATATTCCATAATAGGTTTAAATATTTATTTTCTATATATATATTTTTGTTTTAGGTTCATTTTTTGAAGCTTTTTTTCTTTTTTTTTGATTTGTAGTATATTAGAGTTATTTTTTTAATAAAATTTTGGCTTGTTAGAATTTTATCTATGATAAGATTTTAGATTTAAATTTAAAGCTATTGAGATTTCATAGTAAAGACTTCTGTTAGTATTAATTTTGTTACAAATATAGTCATTTATATGTATATATAAGTTTTTATTTATAAAGAATTTTGATTAATTTCGATTAACCAATAAAATTTTTGCTATATCATGAGATGATCTACAAAAATTAGCCAATCACAATGAAAGCCTGCTATGCTGGGTACAACTTGAAGTAGGAATATCTCGAGTGTCCTGATCTGTAGATCATTACACAACTAATCAATGATTTTTTTTTATATATTTTACAATACTTTTTTTAGAAGCTTAAGTGGTTTAACTCTTTTGTGAACCCACAAGACATATTAAGTAAAACTTGAAGTTTTTGTACCATACTATAAGAATATCGGCTAAATCATTCTAAATTATTTGATCTTCTTATTAAATTTGCTTAGTAAAACAATAACCAAATCTAAGTGATGCATAAATTGTGAAACCACTGAACCAACTGTATTTTGCTCTTTAAAAGACAAAAAATAGAAGAAGGCAGAAAATAATAATTTAACTACAGAAAAGTGGGTGAAAGACAGTAAGTTGTATTATATTTGTTATATGAATTTTGTAGAAAATCTATTACAAAAACTACAAAGAGAAGCCAAGAGGGTAAGAATCTTAAGTGAAGTTGAAGTTACAGCTAGTATAGCTAGAGAAGAAGTAGAAGTTATATATAAAGATATAGGAACTACAATAGAAGATATAGAGGAGACAAGTATGATTAATCTTATTAGGACTATTAAAGCTATTATGAGAATATTTTATGAAAAAGAGCATGTAAAGAAGAAAGGTCTTATTTATTTGTATGAAGAATTGCGGGAGGTATTTCAAACAAATAAGTATTTGGAAAATTTTTTTGATCAACTTTATTTAGTAGCTAGGCCACTTGAGTGTAGTGATAAAAGTATAAAGAAATTAATCATTCATATTTGTTATCTTCTTGCATTGTTAAATAATTCAAAAATTAACTTCTTTAAGTTCAATATAGTATTTTATTTAGATTTTGTAGATACAAGTAATGAAGGCTTAGATACATTGACAAATCTTGGTATTACTACAACATCAAAAGCAGTAGATCAAAGAAAGAAAAAAGTTGCTGATGTAGAAAATTCTCTTTTAAAAAATTCAAATAATGCTTTTGTGTTAAATATTGATGATTATCACAATATTCACATTTTATAGCAGGCTGACTTTACTAGTACATCTCATCCAGAACATATAGTAAACATAATAGCAAACCCATGTCTCATATTAGCAATTCCACATAATGAAGCACTCAACCTAAGAATTATTGATAATAAGCTAATTATGAAACATCTTGATAAATGGTTTATTATAAACCTTGGTATTCCTTATAATAAGCATAGACTAGACCATACAGATAAGTGTACTGACAATGAGATTATAAAGAGACTAAGATTGCATAGTTATAATGATAGGTTAGTAGGAAAAAAGGTAATGAGCATATTCAGAACACTATTCTTTTTGATTTTGTCAAAAGCAATTTGAAAAGTATAAAGAATTATACAAATGCACTTCAAATTGTATATAATCAAGAATTAATACAAGAGTATCTTTCCAACTATATAATTTCTGTCATTGCAGATTGGTCTGGTTAATTTTTCATTCATAAGGCTATTGTATATCAGCTTTTTCTCAACAATGAAGTTATTTCTCTATTCGTTGTATCATTTGTATCTATTATGGGTTCTCTCCATGTGTCTTTGAATAGTCATGAACTGTTTATAAGAAAAATTTATTTTTTTTAATAATATTTATAAAGAAATTTTTGGTAAAAAAAAGAATCTTGGTAAAAAACCTCACCCTTGAAGAATCGATTTAATTCTTTATCTTATACGCATTGTATGGCTTGATATATCTAATGTTATTTATTCAAAATTTGGCCACACTTGTAAAAATTTAGAATTTTTATATCTAGCTGATCTTTTAGATAATCTAATTCCTTTAGTTTTGGACATTTATACTGCTCACCATCAAGAAGGAAACTGGCAAGTATATGAAGAAGCTTGTATATACTGTTGGTATAATTTATTTCTTTGATTTAATCGAAGAAATTATAAGTATTCTCTTTTGATGTTTTTTTCTGATATTTTTTTTTGGATAGATACTAATCATCCAATAATGAATCTAGTTACTAATCATCTTGCATCTCTAAGTAATTGTTCTGTAAAAACTGTCTATAGTATAATTTGATGATATATAGCCAAGTTTTTTATAGCAAGTCAATTGCAGAAAAAGGTATATTTTATATTTCAGCATCAGGATGATAATATCTTCTATTAATATTTTGTGAATTCCATGAAGTATCTGTATAAGCTGAAACAATTGTATATACTATCCCAAAAATATGCTGTATTGCTTTTAGAAGTTTTTACAAAAATCTACAAAACACATTATTTGTATTTTTTAACTATTAATTTGTCTAATAATAATATTAACTCTTATAAGCTGCTATTATTGGGTTATAAAATAACTAATCACCATCTTTCAAGAGGTTTCATTACCTCTAAAAAACTATTTATTAATATTTTATATAATTATTTGTATTGTGATTATACTAACTATACTAATTGTTAAGGGTTGGAATCCCACGGCCTAGTGGTCTAGGCACCCAACCCTCCACGAGTGAGTTTCGGGTTCAAGTCCTAGTAGATACGGATTCTACGAATATTTGAATATACTCATCGTAGAAAGCCCAAATGAGTACAAGTCTGGATTAGGA